TCAAGTGTCTGGCAGGCTCCCTGCACGGCAGCTGTGGCACTGAGCCACTTTTGCAACAACAGTGGCCGTGGTGGGCCACCTGTGTGGAAGTGGTGTTTTTAGAGTCCTCCTTGCCTGCTTCAGGCAGAAGGGGCTACCCTCGCCTCCTGCCCTGTATTTTGATACCATCATTTATCCCAACTGCTAAAGAGTTTTTTTCTCTCTTTAGAACTGTTTTTGCCTTAGCTCAAAGAAATCAATTTTGATAAGATAAAAAAATGGATACTATCATAGCACAGCCCTGTTTATTGTAATAAGAATAACGATCAATCAAAAATATTCTTTTCAAGATATATAGTGCTGGTAAGTAATCCTGACTACTCAAAATAGTGAACTATTATGTAATGTAATAGATTACTTAAGAAATTAGAGTCCCTTGGTCCACTTTAGTCCTCATGATTCCCAACTTCACCAATATAATTATGGTTCAAGTAGACTCAGGAGTAGCCAAACAGAAAACATAAAGAAGAAATAACTGTTTTCAATGTAATTTGAAGTGTCCATTCCATGCAGTGACCAAGAAACAGAAGCTAATTTCTAAACAATCTATAACACTATCTCTACCCAAGAGCTGGAAATTCAAGTGAAAGTTTCCTCTCATTTCCCTTTTAATAATATGAAATGTAGCCATAAATACATTTGAATAGATATCTTCTCTTGGATTCAAATGACTATATTTTTTAAATGGTCCCTTGGTCAAACAACCCAATCAGTCCAGACTATTTACAGATAAAACATTGACAGTACCATTACCAACGCATTATGAAAGTCAGAGTTCACACACTAGGTAAGAAGTAAGAAGCATCAAGTTCTAACCAAATATCTCAACAAGCTCTCTGTACATGGGAATTTAAACATCAAAGCATTCCATCTCTAGCATGTTGAGGAGCTAGACTTGACAATGTGAGCCAGACTTGACAATCCTCACAGGAATCAGGATTGTTGCTGGCTCATCATTGCCTCTGCCATCACTTTTACCCTTACAGTCAAAGAGGAGCCTGCAGACTAATGGAAATGTTACTCTTCTAATCAGCAAATATTCTAGCCCAAGAAAGTAACAGATTAGAGCCACGTTTAGAATCCCATTCTAGGATGGATGTGCAATACAGCAAAGTAGATTATACACTCATTTGTTAAACAAATATTTATTAAATATTACTGTATCCAAGCAATATTCTAGGTCTTAGTGATTATAGGAGCAATTAAAACAGATAAAATCCCTGTCCTCTGGAGCCAAACAGCCTAGGTTCAAATCCTGGCTTTGATAACTAGATGAATGACCTTACCAGATTTTTTAACCTCTCTGTGCTACAGTTCCTTCATCTATAAATATTAATGTGTGACCAATTATAGTATCCTTATACTATTTTGTGAAGACTAACAGTGTTTGACACAGTAAACACCTTATTACAGTTACCCATCATTATTTTCAGCAACATCATCACCACACCATATCCCAGAAAAACTTTAAATAGGTAAATCCCACAAAGCCTGCAGACCTTATAATGTTTTCCTTAATGAGTGGCTGCTGCTTAAATTATATAAGGGAGGCTAAGGGAGCCAGTACACGCATCACACCTAAATATTGCTCTTGAGAAAATACTCCCTTTTCTCAACTAGGGTTGCCACAAAGATGAAAGCCTCAAAGAGGAGGCAAATTATTACATAACATGCCTGGGGGAAGAAAGAAAAAGTCAAAGGTGAAAATAGCCCAACAGAAGTATAAGCATACTGCAGTGAAGGAATCCTACATAAAATACAAACATGACCAGTTACTGAAGGAGGTCAGTGGGCAGTACCCAAAAGGGAAAATAAAGTTTTCACCAGGCTGAAACCTTAGGATGAAATGAGTAGAAGTTTAATTCCCAAGAAAAGCACTAGTTTTCAGGCCCAGATCCTATAAATGGCCATTTTGTGAACAGTGGGTACACAGGAGCACACAACCAGCCCACTCAATGAATTTTCTTGTAGGAGGCTAAGGCTAAAGGGTAAATAAAGAAGGAGGCCTAAGGAAAACTATAAATGACCATAACATAATACACAGTCAAGAAAACAGGAACATGCATCTCTTGAGATCTTGAGTACTATAAATGACCATAACATAATACACAGTCAAGAAAACAGGAACATGCATCTCTTGAGATCACTCAAGATCTCAAGAGAAAAAAGACAGTAAAATCAAATTGAGTAATTCAAAGATGGTTTAGGGACCATGTTACAAAGGTATGAGCAAAGTGCAGAGAAACCATAAAGCTATCAGGGGACTTACATCTGAAGGGACAAGGGAGGGAGTAGGTACCAGAACCCAGGAAGCACGGTGTGTGAGAGTGCTGCCCAATAGCATTTATGACGTTTAGCTACCCAGGGCAAACAGCAAGGAGGGAGCCTAGGAATAACACACCAAACTCACTCTCCTACCTCCGCTGACCTCCTGCTGATGTTCCCACTTGCCAAACCCAAACAGGAGCCAGAGGACAAAGGAGTCTATGGTTGCTGTCTAGATAGGACAGTTTCCTAGGGCAAAGAATAGGGTGAACAAGGGTAGAAAACAGATATAGAGAGGCAAATACGAGTAGAAGATTATCCAGCATGTATATAATAACACCAAGGTTTTGGGGACATTTTATTTTGAAAATGTTTGATATTTACTACTACTTTTTGTTTTTCTATCAGGGATTATGTACTAGGAACTTTTAATGTATTCACGGCACACAGAATTAAACTCAGGCAGCATTACTCTCCAATTAAGTTTCTCTAAGAGCATATAAAATTCTTGACTGTTACTGTGTTTTACCTAAAGAACATCATCTATTTACGCATATAAAATTCTTGACTGTTACTGTGTTTTACCTAAAGAACATCATCTATTTACGCATATAAAATTCTTGACTGTTACTGTGTTTTACCTAAAGAACATCATCTATTTACTTATTCCACCATTTTGCAAACATGAACAATAGTAGGTGTCAGTCTAAATGCTCTTACTTTACTAAATAATAGTAAATCTTCATAAATGTGATCAGACTAGGTTTTTTTTTTTTCCTTTTTGTCTTTTTTCGTGACCGGCAACGGGATCGCAACCCTCGGTGTTGCGCCCGCACCTCGCTCAGCCAGTGAGTGGGAACCGGTCTGTATGTGGGATCCGAACCCTCGGCGGGAGCGCCACCGGGCCAGCCCCAGATTAGGTTTTAAGACAGCAGGACTATTTGACAAATTTTCAAAAAAAATACAACATAATATTTATTTCACTTATTCAAATAAGAATTTAAATTAAGAACATTAAGTTAAATAAATTGTGAACATAATTTGGCCAGCTTACCATATTTACAGAATTACCATTCTATTAAACAAGTTCCTCACAGAATGGATCAGCCCCAGCAAAAAGAAAAAACAATACTTGTAATTTATGTGATAGAGACTAAGCCAACAGAAGAATAAATGATAAAAGCACACTGAGCCTATGCTAACTAAATTACTCAGGCAGTATACCAATCTAGCTATATAATCGTACATAATATTAAGCACTGAAAATGTAAAACCAGGATCTCATATATAGAGTTAGTCTGATCACATCTTATGACTTGAAATATAAGCAATAAACTACTATTCACCAATTGCCCACTGAGGAAGGCCTTCTTTCTGCCTGGCACAATACTAAATACTGCACATACATTACTTAATTGAATCCCTCTCAACCCTTTAACATAGATTTTATACTAATGAAAATATAACCAAATGATTAAGAAGACTTCAAAGCTGAGGCTGTTATATATTAGACATTTACAGTAATGACGACCATCTTCCCTTAATGAAAAAAGTCTATAGAAGTCATACTGTGTCTATCTGCATCCATTCCCCACTCCCACCCCGACCCCATTTCTTCCTGCCTGTCAGAACTCTTGATGGGTGTTCCTCCTATCTCCAGGAAGGCTACTCCTATCTCACTCTTGCAATAAATGAAGAATAGGCAGGTTGCACAATTTAGATTTAAGGCAAGTGTGCTAGGGACTTCAAGATTGTTTGCTTATAAAGAGAGACACATAAGAAGCAGTCCTTTCTTTCTCACTGGACATACTGACGTGTCCAAATGGCATGCCTAGAGCTTCTGCAGCCATCCGGTGACAGGCACACTGAACATGGCAGTGCTGAACATCAACAACAACCTGGATCCCAATGATAATGCAAAGCCCTTAAATTTAACAACCCTAAAGTCATTTAACCTAACCTGGAAGTTCTAGTTAGTAAAAAAATAAATTCCCCATTGTTCAAGCAGTTTTGGGAGCTGGTTTTTGTGTGAACAGCACAAAGTATCCAATATCCTAAAGTTATCCTATTGGCTAACAATAATAATGCATCCTTTCAGGACTTGTTTTAAAATACGACATAAAGGCATAGGCTTCATAGGGACTACGGAAGGTGTAAGCAGCTGGACGGCAATGTGTGCTTCTTCCCTGCAGAATACACACCTGAAACACACAGCATCCAACAGGAAAGGTTTCAAAGCACCCCAACAGTGAAAATACCAAAGGGCTATCAGAGCTTGGAAAAATAAGAACAATGATCCACATGCCACACAATGGAAATTACTACTAATGATTAATAAGAAAGTAACAAAACATGGTATGGGGAGGGGAAGGGGGGTTTGAGGGGATGGGTGGAGATACTTTCTGATATAGAGATAAAAATTCCAATATGTTTTAACTGGTTTAGGTTTTCTAAAAATCTGAATTAAATTCCACTGCTAATTCAGGTTAATCCTGAATGCTACAAAGGCCTACCACCCCTCCAGATACTACCTTCACCACAAATTGGCAAGTTTTTTAGAACAAAATTTTCACAATAATTAAAATAGCATAACATGAATTCAACATAATTAGAGCTTTATTAACAGTATAATACTAAAACTATAACTTAGTTTAAATGTATATTGGAGGAAGGCAGTGGTACCTTCATGATTATACCTGTTGTCTTTTGGCTGCCATAATGTTCAGCTTATCCACTTCAGGTTTCAGGGCTTTATACTGTACTCCTAAGTCCTGTTCATTGCCAGCATTCCTCAGTTTCAAGATACCATCTTCCACCTATAAAACATGACCCCCCAAAAACAAAAATTCAGAACAAGTCTGTAGATAAAAAAATGTACATATATGGTGTCCTAGAATATTTTATTCCTTTTAATAGCTACTCAGAAAGCAATCCAAACTTAATTCTCTTGAGTTTGCATGGCCCTCAAACACTTGAGCAGCTATTACATGGGAGCTTTACAGGAGATGAGAAAGACACTATTATATTGGTCTCTATCTAAAAGTATACAATTAAATGCATCTTGGTTTCTCAAATCCAGAATTCTATTAGTAAAAGGAAATATTTCATCACTACTACAAAAAGGAAAAACAATACCTTTGCTTACAAGTTCTTCACCAGAACCAAGAAAACAAACATGTATTCCACTATGAGCCAGTATCATGTATACTTGGAAAAGAGGAGTAAGTGGAAATTAAACAAAAACATCTCTGGTCCATTTAGATAAACCAAGTTCAAAACCAAGCTAAATACTAAGGAATGCTGAACCAAGTATGGCCATCAGCAGCCTCACTGTGATAGAGAGAACAAATTACAGACATAGACCTATACTTACAACTTTCAGCTGAACAAGTAATTTGTAGACATCTGCCATGTCAGCCAAAATAAGCAGCCGGGTAACAGCAGAGAGCAAGGCTCGAGCTGCCCGAACCATGTTGCCTCGCTTCACAGAAGAGCAGGGATCATCTGCAAACTCTCCTGCAGCACTCTTCATCAAATCACCTGTTTTACAGAATGAAAAAGCAAACTCAGCAGGAATGAACTCAAAAAATCAACCTGCATTTTAAAAAATACAAGGAGTTCAAACTTTGTATATTTCATACACAGATTTAGTTTAAGGGTTTTCATTTTTTTTTCCTTTTTGTCTTTTTTCGTGACCGGCCACAGGATCGCAACCCTCAGTGTCGCGCCCGTACCGGACCGGGACCGGCCACAGGATCGCAACCCTCAGTGTTGCGCCCGCACCTCGCTCAGCCAGTGAGCGGCCGGTCTGTATGTGGGATCCGAACCCTTGGCGGGAGCGCCGTCGCACTCCCAAGCGGCGCACTGTAGCAGTGCGCCACCGGGCCGGCCCAAGGGTTTTCATTTTTATTGTTTGCTTTTCTTTTGTTTTATAGCTGTCACTTAAAAAAGCACCCTCACATATTGCTGGTGAAAGCAAAGTATCTGGAAAGTGACTTGGCACTATATACCAAGAGGCTTAAAAACACTTCTTCCCTTTGATCTAATAATACTCCAAAAAGGAGCATTATGTGTAACCTTAAAATAAAAAAAAATCCATGTGGCGCACTCGGTTGAGTGCGGCGCTCCCACCGAGGTTTCAGATCCCATATAGAGACCAGTCCGCTCACTGGCTGAGCGCGGTGCAGGCGCGACACCGAGGGTTGCAATCCCGTTGCCGGTCGTGGTACGGGTGTGACACCGAGGGTTGCGATCCCGTTACCGGTCATGAAAAGAGACAAAAAGGAAGAAAAAAAAAATCCAAAATGTGAATTGGAGAAAATATGGATCTAATGCAATCTACCCTCACATCCATAGAATGATACAGAAATATGGCAACCATGCTTTAGGACCACCACACTTCTTTAAGTATCCCAACTATCCAATGGGTACAGCCTTAATGAAGACTCACCAGTATGTGAACAGAGTTCAGCCACTGACTCTTTCAGTTCCATCATAGTAAAACACTGCCAACAGTTCAAAAGCTCAACAATAAGCATCTAGTTAAGTAAGTGATGGTGTAGCCTACAATTGATTGTTTTATGCAAATGCCAGCATATATGAAAAAATGTTAAGGCTTATGATGAAATCTTAAGCAGAAAAAAGAAGAAATTATAAATGCATGTAATTTGTGTTTTAAGGCAGGCAGTTTAGCTCAGTTGGTTACAGTGCAGTGTTATAACACTAAGGTAAAGTGTTCAGATCCTCATATAGGCCAGCTGCTCAATCAATCAATTTTAAAAATTAAAAAGAGAAAAGATTAGAGTCAAAAGGCAAATAATAGTTATTACTAGTTTACAATCTGCCTTTCTGCACTATTCTGTACTTGTAAAAACAGTTTCTATAATGAACAGGTACTATTATTTGTAATAAAAAATTAAGCTAAAAACATATAAAATAGATTTTACTAGAGTTATTAGGAATATCCAGTTTATACAATGCTGAGTTCAAGAATTTATTTATACATTTCCTGGAAACTTGTGCAACTTTTATTTTTTGTCACTCTTTTCTATTAATAATCATTTAGGGTGTCTATCGTCCCTCTTATTAAGGCTATGGGAATATAGTGAGGAAAGCTATTACCTCAGGAAAGCATTTGTCAGGAAAGCCTTGTAGATAGAGACACTTGCCTTAATCAACATTAATACTATCTTAAACAATATTAATATTAAACAAGAGAAAGTAAGCAAGTGATATATTAGCCTTATAAGTAGAATTTCACCTACTTATTGAGCACTTACTACAACAAACAAATCCACTGCCAGGGACACAAAACTGAACGATGTCATCCCTGCCTTCAAATGTCTTATAATCCAGAAAAGAAGGATGGGACCATGCAGAAATTATGGGGCCTTTTAACATACAAGCTCTAAGAAAAGCACAAAGTATCATGGAATTTCAAAAGAAGAAGCACGAACAGCCAGTTTGGAGGAAGAATTGAAATACCAGCAACAGCTTTATGGAAGGCACAGTGCTCTGAGACTAACCCATCCCTTAAAGGACAGGAAGAATTTGGGGAGTGGAGTTAACGGAGTTACCACTTCAAGTAGAAGGAACAGCAACATAATAATGTCCAACATTTATTAAATGTCTACTCCATGGCACTATACGTATTTTATTTAATTCTATCAGCCACCTACAAAATAGGTCACATTAGCCATTCTTTACAAATGAGACAACTAAAGCTTATAAAGGTTAACTAATTTAATCCCTGTCACCTAGCTAGTAAATGGTACAGCAGGATTTGTAAGCTAATACTTATACTTTTAGAAGCACTTATCAAGCTGAGGTATACAGTATAAATTCTCTAGTATGAGAAGTGAGGAACATGTACAGAAGTAGCAGAAGATGTGAGAAGAAAGGCCATGGACAAACAATTCAATGAAGAATCCTAGAGCCAGAAGGAAGTCAAAGTCATAGGTACAGAGGATTAACCTAAAAAAAAAGGTACATACAATAACCTGACCAGAAAGATGGGCCGGAAAGCTACAATAAGAGCCCAGGAAAAGAGTAGTAGTAAATCACAAAGGCAGGGGTCAAAAAATCTAATAACCTTTGATTATAAAGAGTAAGGGAGAAGAAAACACCAAAGATGACTTAAAGAAAACCAAGGTCAAGGGTTTGGTTTTCTGTACTGGCCAGTGGACAAAAAAAAAAAAGGTGTCAAGTCAAGGTAGGGCTGTCCTGAGAGGGAGAAGGCCAGAGCTGTAAACTGAGAGCACAAAAACTGGGAAAGATTAAAAAAAAAAAAAAAAAGGGGTCAAGTCAAGGGAGGGCTGTCCTGAGAGGGAGAAGGCCAGAGCCGTAAACTGAGAGCACAAAAACTGGGAAAGATTAAAAAAAAAAAAAAAAAGGGGTCAAGTCAAGGGAGGGCTGTCCTGAGAGGGAGAAGGCCAGAGCCGTAAACTGAGAGCACAAAAACTGGGAAAGATTAAAAAAAAAAAAAAAAAAAAAAAGGTGTGAACCCTTGAGACTGTGAATTTAGGAGTAAGGGGAGGAAGATTCTGCAACAAGAGAAACAAAGAGAACCATGATGATGCAATGTCAAAAACAAAAAGACAAGACTTTCTAAGAAAAAAACTGGTCAGCAAATTAAAACATATAGATCAATGAACTAGAATTGAGAATCCAGAAATACAGTCAACTGATTTTTAACAAACATGCCAAGACCATTCAATGAGTAAAAACAGTCTTTTCAACAAATGGTGCTGGGACAATTGCAATGTGCAAAAGAGCTAAGTGACACCCCTACCTCACACCATATACTTACAAAATGGATCAAAAACCTAAATGTAAGGTTTAGATCCATTTTATATTTTAAAAGTAAAATTATACAACACTTAAAAGAAAACATTGATGTAAGTCTTCGTGACCTTTCATTAGGCAATGGTTTCTTAGCTATTACACCAAAAGCACAAACAGAAGAAAAAATTGGACATCAAAATTTTAAATTTTTGTGCTTCAAAAGACACTATCAACAAAGTGAAAAGACAACCCATGAATGGAAGAAAATTTCTGCAAACCATATATCTGATAAGGATATAGTATCCAGGATATACGAGGGGTCTTCAAAAACTTTGAGGGGGTCTTCAAAAGCTTCATGAAAAGGGCCAGCCCATGGCTCACTCAAGAGAGTGTGGTGCTGATAACACCAAAGCCACAGGTTCAGATCCCTATATAGGGATGGCCAGTTAGCTCACTTGGGAGAGTGTGGTGCTGGCAACACCAAGTCAAGGGTTAAGATCCCCTTACTGGTCTTTTTTTTTTTAAAGCTTCATGAAAAAATTTGTATTACTTTTTAGTTCCATTTTTCCATGAAATTTCTGAAGTACCCTCGTATGAAGAACTTTTACTACTCAACAATAAACAACAATAAAAAGACTAATAGGGCCAACCCGGTGGCGCACTGCTACAGTGTGCCGCTTGGGAGCGCGGCGGCACTCCCGCCGAGGGTTCGGATCCCACATACAGACCGGTTCCCACTCACTGGCTGAGCAAGGCGCGGGAGCAACGCCGAGGGCTGCGATCCCGTTGCCGGTCCTGGTCACTGAGGGTTGCGATCCGTTGCCGGTCACGAAAAAAGACAAAAAGGTAAAAAAAAAAAAAAAAAAAAAAAACTACAAATAGAACTTCCACACAATCCAGCAATCTTGCTGCTGGGTATATACCAAAAGGAATGGAAATCCATCATGTTGAAGAGATACCTGTACTTCCATGTTTACTACAGCTCTATTTACAATAGCCAAGAGTTGGAACCAACCTAAATGTCCACGAACGGACAACTAGATAAGGAAAATGTGGTATAAATACACAATGGAACACTATTCTGCCATAAATAAGAATGAAATTCTGCCATCCACAAGAACATACGTGAACTCAGAGAAACTCATGTGAAGTGAAATAAGCCAGGTACAGAAAGCGAAATACTGAAGGTCCTCACTCATAAGTGGGAGCTAAAAATAAACAAATGAATGAATGAATAAATAAATAAAACAGAAAGATACAATAATTACAATAATCTGTTGAACTTTCAAAAGGAGAGAAAAGAACTGAGGCCACTGGACGTAGGAAAAGGGGAGGGATTGGGGAGAAATTGATAAAGGGCCACGGAAAGTGATTACGTCCTGTAATACTGAATGTACTAATTATCCTGATTTGAGCATCACATACTGCACACAGGTATTGATATGTAATGCTGTACCCCAGAGATATGTACAATCACTCATGTTTCAACAACCATTACAAAAACAGTGACCTTCAAGAACATTCATGCCTTCTTTCAACAAATGTTACTGACCACTTTCTGTGAGTCAAGCACTATTCTAAATGCTCAAGAAACAGACCAACCAGATAAAAATCCCTGGCTCCAGGGAGCTTACATTCTAATAGGAAAGAAAGACAAAGTCTAGTTTGTTAAACAATGGTACTGAGGTGGAGAGGGGCAGTGACAGAAAGGAGGACAGGGAAAGTGGAGACAAAAGATAAAATTGAAAATAGGGGGAT